TCGGGGAGAAAGCCTCTTGGCCGGGGTTTGTGACAGGGGGAGGGGAGGGGCAAGCCACGGTGTTCTTGAGGCTTCAGCTGTTTCAAAGGCAACTCCCCGCTGGCTTGCATTGACTGTTGCTATCAAATATTGGATAAATGTCACAGGCAGTTAAATTATCCATTCAAGAGCAAAGCATACATAGCCCCTTTTATCTTACAAATTATATCAACCTAAACGATTAGGGAAGGCGTCCTTGCTGTAGGTAGTTGGCTGTAGCACGTCCCCCCCCCCCAAAAAAAATCCAAAACATTGATAGCAGAAGGAAACAAGGCAAGTTAATATCTTTTTTGAAAACAGAATGGAACAGCAATAGCACTTAGACTTATATACTGCTTCACAGTGCTTTACAACCCTCTCTAAGCTGTTTACAGAGTCAGCATATTGCTCCCAACAATTTGGGTCCCCATTTTACTCATTTTACCATTGAAGGCTGAGTCAACCAATATTCTCCACTATCACATCTATCCAAGTTTAGGGATTAGGAGCAAAGTGGCTGCATGTTTACTAGGCCTGCAACCTTAAACACATTAATTTAATTAGCTTGCCCAACAGTGTTACTTAAATTCCTGTACCACCTTTGCCCTCACTATCCAACAATATGGAGAACAACAAGATAGGGGGTACTGAATTAAGTTGCTGGTCCTCATGAGCATAGATGAATTTGTTCTGAATTAGGTAGTTGAGGGTAAACCATGCCAAGTAAACAAAGAACTGGATGAGACCAACCTCATAATCTTTCTGTTGGATGTTGCGTATGTGTGAGGAAATTGGGTAGGATTTTCTGTACATGACCATTCCTTTGGAAATTTTATCAGGCTTAGGAAAGTGTGTGCAGGCACGCATTTCTTGTATGTGTTCAGATACTCACTAATCGCTAAACATTACTTCAATGTATCAATTTACACTTCAGTCCTGAATAAACAAATTAAACATATGTCAAAACTACATGACAGATGGCTCTAAGCAGAGAACTGTCAGCTATTTTCACACAGTTCCTTAGATAGAGAATCTCCCCCTCCCAAAATATACCAAAATCTAAAAAAAAATGCAAACTAGATTTTAAAAATCTCAAGTTTTATCTCTGTGCACACATACAACAAAACTCAAGTTAGCTTCTCAATATTTACAGATCTTCTGACATTTACTGAAGAGCAGGAAGAGAAAGTCAAGTCTACAAATATCCTGGGAAACGGGGAAAAAACAATCTTAGGTACATTTCTCAGAAGGCGTGTTGTGTTCAGAGGGATTTACTCTCACATATGTCAGTATGGCTTGGAACTGATCAACGTCCTCATTTTAAATTTACTCAGATATAAATCCCCTTGAGTTCATTCCAGTCCCCCTCCCAAAGCACATCTTGAATTATGTCCCAAACTGAACAGCATAAAGTGAATGCTAAAGGATAAGTTGATGACAAAAGCCATAGTACAGGTAGTCCTTGACTTACGACCACAATTGAGCCCAAAATTTTGTTATGTGAGACATTAGTTAAGTGAGTTTTGCCTCACTTTATGAACTTTCTGGCTGCAGTTGTTAAGTGAATCACTGGAGGTGTTTAATTAGTGACACAGTTAAGTACATCTGGCTTCCCCATTGATTTTGCTTGTCAGAAGGTTGCAAAAGGTGATCACATGACCTCAGGACACTGGAACTGTCATTAGTATGAGTCAGATGCCAAGGGTCTGATTTTGATCACGTGACCATGGGATGCTGCAATGATGGTAAGTGTAAAAGAAATTATGTCACTTTTCAGTGCCATTGTAACTTTGAACACTAAATGAACTGTTTATAAGTTGAGGACAACCTGTACCTTGATATGAAAAAGCAGACATACACACATTTGGGTAATATGTTATTTCTGATTTCTAAGTGCAAAAAATAAATGATGCTTGAATTGCTTACAAAGTAAATGGTCCAAAACATTTCTTTGCTATTACATTTGGTGTCAGTGTAGATTAATGCCAGCAACACCCTCTTGATATGGTGGGAATCCAGGTTCAATTTAAATATTCATGACTTGACTCCTGGTCCCTGCAATTTTCTTGACAAAGTTTACAAAAACTATTTAGCCATTGCCTTCTTCCTAGGGCTGAGAGAGAGTGACTGTGCCAAGATCATTCAGCTGGTTTCATGTTTTAAAGTTGGGATTAGAACTCACAATCTCCTAGTTTCTAGAATCACTACATCAAACTGGCTCTCAGTAATTAGTTATTATGTAATTAGCTAAACATAAAATGGAAGATTAATTGTGATCATGGTAATTTATTACATTCCCATCTACCAGTATGCTGATTATATGTATCCCATTTTCATGTAATTCAGAGTGGCATGTATCAAAATATTCATGAACTGGAATAGGACATACCAGTATGATAACAAGTCAGCCAATGGGAACTATTTGGTGACTGAGAGCCATGCCAGACGGCTCGGGGCCTGGGCGTGGCTTATCTATGCAGCTCTGAATCTGTGGAAGAGAACTAATCTAATCTGCTATTAAGCTCTGAACTCTGAACTGAAACTAATCTCTCCTCTGCCTACGTTTTGCCTGTAATTACTACCACTTTGGAGAATCCACTATTGGTATTGTACATTTACTCATGTGTTACTATGTATATAAAAAAGTTAATGAATCCTGCTGAATCAGTTATCTGTGTATGCTTTCTGGGTTTGATTTCTGCAACAAACTTTGACAGCACGCATGAAGATGTTTCATTTTTATCCTCATAAAAATAACATAGGTTAAAGGGGAAGATTGGTGATAAGAACAATGCTTCCCTTTGAGATTTATGGCTGAGCAGACTTTGTTCTGTACCCTATTCTTCAACTCTCTAAATATTTCACATATTTGTGATACAAAGAAAGCTTGAAATCTATTGGTTCAACTGGATTTGGGCATATTTAACTTCTCTGACTTTTGCCCATATACAGACTCTAGGATTTAAAACAAAATTTGGTATTGTATTGCTATCTCTACAGTGAGACTTTCACCTTCATCAAAATATATTATGTAAGTGGAATTTACTTCTATGAAATATCACCATAAGAATATTAATTCCAAAAATCCATTTACTGGAAGCAATCTCCTTAGCATTTCAGTCTGTCCATGTCTTTTAAATACTAATTATATGTAGACTCAAACTGACCTTGCAGAGGTTTTCAAATAAAACCTGGGTGATGTGATTTGCCAATGCTTGAATGATAGTTTTTATTTTATTTTATTTTACAAATACAAATAGAACATGTTTATCTCTATATATTTAACATGGTTTATATAAGCAGTGTAAAGCTCTTCTCTCACTCCACATATATAGTATTAATCAAGCAATGGCATTTTCTAATCACCATATATAAAAACATCAAAGAAAGTTTAAATAACTTCATATTAAAATATAAAACTGATAGTCAACTGTGATGGAATGAAGAATTAAGATATAAGCTCTACAAAGGAACCTGAAAGCCAGTTTGTTTTATTTTTCTTTTAAATCAAGATAGGCAGAAAAATTATATGAAAGCTTCATTCATATATAATGAATGCCATTTGAATTCTCAGTTCCACAGCATATTAATCCTAAAGAGAACTCTGTACGGAGCAAGAAATGTGCATTATCCTTTTTCTAAGTTAGTTGGAACATCTTTGGTGACATGTAACTAAAAGATAACATCATAATATATTGTACTAAATATTTTACTATAGACATATGTCTCAATGAATTAATAAATTTCAAGTCATTTTTTGTCCCGTGTTTGAATCTTTTAAGTCTTTTGCATAGGAGAAAAGGTTGGTTGGTTTATTTGTGTTAGAAACATCACAATTAAAGTAAGACATGCAATCTGATATAAAATTTAAAATATAAAATACAAGATTGAAATATGCACGTTAAACAGATTTTGGCCAGAAACTAGCAACATTAACTGCATTCTGTCATGTTACCACGAAGTCCTCAAGTGGACACTGATCAGGGCACAAAGGGCAGGTATACATATGTGTTGTCTGCATGTATGCACAGTTGCAAAGAACAGAAGCCACCAGATAGCCCCATTTGTTCAGAGTGTCTCTGGATTTTATTGTATTCACATAGTCTATTCAATGATTTCCATACTTCCCAGCTATTGTCAGACTCAGGTGTCAGCTCCTCCATTGGTTCTATCCAGTGTTGGTTCTTTGTACCTGTCCATAGGTCTCCTCTGCTTTTAAATTCTCCAAAGACTTCCATGGGCCTAAGGAAGCTTTTCCTGGATTTTAATCTCTGATGATCTGGTTGTAGGCCATAGACAATCTGTTTGTGCAAGAAACAGTGCAGTTCTAGGCGTAGTTTTGTGAAACCCAAAGAAATACAACAAGAATGAAGCTTGGATAAAGGAGGTGGAAAAGGGAAAAAAGAAGCTGAAATTTAAAAACACAATAAGAAAGATGGTAGTGAAAATGCAAGGAAAATCAAGAGTTCGTCCCCACCAAGTGAAGTTGAGCTGCATCTTTAAAAAAAAATTTTTTTTACCCTGCCTTTATTATTTTTATAAACAAGGTGACAAACATATTTAGTACTCCTCCCTTCTTCTATTTTCCTCAAAACAACAACTTTGTGAATTGAGTTGAGCTGAGTCTGAGAGAGAGGAACTGGCCCAAAGTTACCAAGCTGGTTTTCATGCCNCTTCCGGGGTCAAAGAGCTCAATAAATCACGTTCTGGCGGGTGTCGCACATTGGCAGTTGTGACGCATATTTTGAACAACAGGGAGCCGCACTAGAGGGGTGAAACAGCCACATGCAGCTCCAGAGCAGCAGCTTGCTCACCCTTGGACTAGTTTGATATATTTTATTTGTAGTTTTGATTATAACTTTTTCATTCCAAGTTTAGAACCAGACTTATTAAAGATATAAAACCATAGAAAATGCATTATTGCATCTAAAATGCTCAATTCTGGCCACTCTACAGTTCTGTAGAAGAAACATGCCATTTACCTGATACAATTGGTGCTAGCCTGAATATGTCTGTTAACCTGCTGTTCACTGGTTCGTAAGGTGATTCTTCAAGCAAATCATTTCCTAAAAAACAATTTAAAATGTTTTTTTTTCTTTCATGCTTTTTAAAACATTTTCTAAACTACAACACTCCTAGGATCTCCAGGCTATTCCCAACAAACAAAAATGACAATGCAATCAATTATTACTACTTTTATCTGGCCTTCCATCCCACCATATCATCTTCTTCAACTATTTTTTTTTGTAACAATTCTATATAAACTTCAATTGAAGGAACTTTAATCTTTTTCCTTCTCTTTCCTACCTGCAGCTGTTAAAGACAGGAGAAGAAACGTCAAGGACTCATCACTATGAAGTTCAATCATTATTATATTTTATAAGTACTTTGTACTTACTTCCAAATAAAAGGTAGTACAGAAATCAAATAAATAATAGTAAGAGAAGGCAAAAACATTTTTTTAAATGGCAGGGGACATTATGTTTATAATAATCATTTTTACAGATGTTAAGAGAAAAAAGTACTCTGTTTTCAATTTTTCTTGTAAACCAAATAGATTTAGATCTACATCTACATCTAACTGCATTTAATACATGTGGAACAAGTATTTTTCTTAGTTAAGAGGGTGCCAGAAAACTAAGGAAAAAAATGTATCCATACATCTATGAGAATCACAATAATTCTTTCCTCAAAAAAAAATCTTAAATTTGACATTCTATGCGAAATGTATGGGTGTTTACAGAATTCTGTGGGAAAACTTAACTGTTTAATATGTGAGATACAGGCCAGCAGCCTTCTTCAACCTGGGACAAAAATGTCACCATTTTACTTGAAGCAATGGAGACCATAGGCTTGGTTACTTATTTTTTTCTCAGCCTATTTTATCACTTAAGCCCCAAACCACTGCCTTGAGATACTACTTGAGATAAAGCAGAGTATAAATCTAAGAACTAAAAATGCCTCCAGATACTTGGATGAAAGACTCCAAGGAGGAAGCTACAGTCAATAATCCAAAGTTAAACTATTTTGTTTAGCAGCAAATATTGATTCAGCTAAGCCTCACAGATATAACGAGACATTCTTGTAAGACATATAGAATAACAAGAATAGCATAGCTGAACTTTAAATTCTCAACAAGAGCCATATTCTGGCGATCCCTATTGCCTCAGGAAACAATGACTATGATTTTTTTCCCCCATTGGCTTGATGTCAGCTTGTTATTAAGGAATTTTCCCCCAAAATTCATCTACTCCCACATTACAGAAAGGATACTGCTGTTAGATATAATGTCTTGGGTAGCTTGGCTATGGGAGGTGTGACTTCAATTTGACCTCACAGGTGAGAAATTGGCCTGTATAATCTCCGGATTTTAGATTTCATTAACAAAGGCTGATAGTCTTAGCTGGGAGGAGGGGAAATTCCTAATTCAACCGCTTTGTAGATCTGTACTCCCCTTTTGACTTTGGTTTACAAAGGTCAGAGGAGTCCCTTCTGGGGAAAATCTTTTGAGTTTGCATTTTCAACAATGGGAAACGGCACCAGCAACAGCTGCTCTGGCTGGGTGGCATCAGTGGTCCTCCCTCTGCAGCCAAAGAGCACAAAGAAAATTACAAGGTCAGCTGATGGAGGACCTGGGGGGCAGGACAGAGGGCATTCCTTTCTAGCACTGGGGAAAGAAAGAGGCAGGGAAGGATGTTGTGTATGTCAACCACGTACCCTGTAAGCTTTGGTACATGCTCCAGTAAATACGCAGACAGTTTTTCTCCTTTTTCATGCCTCTTTTGCAGCGGCAATTATAGAGGGATTTCTGCTTGAGAGCCTCCATGGCGCTTTTGCACTCGTCCTTTGCCTCCAGGCCTGCTGCCCGGCTGAAGTTGCTCTCTTTGCCAGCTACACACTGCCTCAGTGTCCTGTATTTAGTGCTGCAGCTCTGCTCCCTGAGACACTGGTCGCTGGCTTTCACACAATCCAGATGGTCTCCTCCAAGCAGCCCACTCACTTCAGCCGAGAAGAGCACTTCTGTATTCAAAGAGAGCAAAAGAGAACCTGTCAATCCCTGAGAGGTCAGTCCAAGAGAACATACACAAGACTACAATAATTGCAAGGATGTGCAGTTGGGGGGGGGGAGGCAGAGCTTGGCTTTGGTTGCCTTTCTCAGGATAGCAAAGACACCAGAGAACCCTTCAGGAAATTCTTTAAAATTGAATGTTTTTTTTTAAGTCATTGCCAAATCAATGCACCAGCTGTGTAAGATAAAGTCATCTCACCTATTACCCCTATTTCACAGCCATTTTTTCCAAGTTTCATTCTCTTTGGAAAACACGTATTTATGGAAGTTAACTTTCAAAGTACCATCCCCTTTATGCTCTAACAACAGCATTAGGAAGTTAAATGTTCATTTGCACAAAGACAGTGTTGTGATTTTAAGTTCCGTCAGGAAAAAGATCAGATGAGAGCAATATTCTCAAATATCCAGGAATCTTTCAAACTTCAGCTTTTTAAAAAGCTAGGCTTCTGATCCCTTAGAAAAAATTAAAAACAACCAGATTTTCAAATTTTTCAAATCCCTCTTCCTCCAGAGTTCTTGGTACAACCAATACGGTCATCTTTTAGTTCTTTATTTCCTTTCCATTAAAAAAAACCCCAACCTGGCCTACTCGCCCTCAAACACACCCCATATCTATTTGCAAGCCACAGCAGAGTGGAGGTACAAGTCTTTTTTTATTGCCACAGCTCAGAACAGGCAGGATGCAACTGTTTATAATGCAACCCTCACTTTCTTCTAATAAAGATGAATTTACTGGAAAGTTTTACTTCCAACTTACTTCCAGTTTTTTTAAAAAAATCAAAAGGCAGCCTATCTTTTGCAAACAGCACCACCCTGTGTAAGTTCTACTCAGAAGTAAGCCCAACTAAATCCCAACGAGACCCACAGCCAAGTAAGCAGGCGCTGAATTACAGCGTAAAATCCATTCTCCGCGTTGCAAACATTGGTGTAAAGGCTGTCAGACCACCGTGTCTTTCCTAGACGATCAATCGGCAATCAGCCCCTGCTTAGAACTCACAAAGCCGAGAAAGATTGTACAGAGTCACACACCGAAGATTTAACGCACCGGCCACTTACCCATTAAGGGCAACACGAAGTAGAAGGTAGCCAGAGGCATCGTGGTCCTCGACAAATCCTTCTCTCCCAACGAACTTGCTTCCGTCGCTCCAGAAGGCGATCTCGCCACCTAAGATATTCCAAACCAGCAAGGTTCCAAAGCCAGCAAGTTCATATCCATTGAATTTACAAGGGAGAGGGGGAGAGAGAAAAAGAAAGAAAGAAATCCCCACCCTCTCCTCTCTCTCTCTCTCTCTCTCTTACGTCCACCGGGAGCAAAAGCAAGAGCAGCTGCTCTGCAAAAGGAGGGGGAGGCGAGGCGAAAGGCGAAGATTTTCTCACATGGAGGAGCTTACATCCCAGGATCCCGGAAAACAGAAGGGTCGATTTCTCAATAAAAGCGAGAGCCAAGGAGAACGAGCCTTTCTCACTTCAAGCGCGGGAGCGCAAAAATTCCGAGCTGGAGCTTCCCTAGCCTCTTTTTCGGGGGATTGGGGGGGGGGGGGCAACGGCTCCCCCCAGCAGGAACTCCAAGAAAGCGGAGGGAGGGGAGGGTGAAAAGGAACCGTGATCCAGAGGTTGGTTTCCTAGTCCCGCTGCCGTCCGACAACCCGTCGCCGATCTCCTTTACAGCCGCCTCCAAGTCACCATTAACGTCTTTGCGGGCGACCCCCGGGTTAGCACAAGGGGTCCCTCTGCCTCTTCGGGGGGGGGGACTTTATTTTCCACCTCCCCGAACCTGCAGTCTTTCGGGATCTCCGCCCAATTAGCTGGGTCCGAGCTCGATTATCGGGGAAAGGCACTAGAAAGGCGGCCAGCCCCACCGAAGCCTCCGGAGCAAAAAAAAAAAGAGAGCCTTTTTGTAGCGCCGCCGGCGTTTCTCGACGCGTTCCAGTCGCCCCCTCTATTGGACGAAGAGACGCGAGCAACGGACGGGGCTCGCGATCCCGGCAGGAGAAAGCGCTCTAGCAGGTGCAGCTCCTGCGCACAGCCTTCCCCGGGAGTAAAGTCCCTCCGCAGGGTCGGAGAAGGCAAAGGCGAACGGCTTTCTCACGTCCCCCGTCCGCGAAAAAGTTTTTCCTGCGCTTGGTCGGGTTTCACCCAGTCGCCATAAAACAATAAATAAAAGCAAGAAGCCACGTTCGTTCGCGAGTGGACGCGGGTGGGAGCTTTAGTACCAACCGGGCGGGGGAGGAGAGGCGATGGGGGGATGGAAGGAAGGAAGGAAGAAAGAGAAAGAAAGAAAGAAAGAAAGAAAGAAAGAAAGAAAGAAAGAAAGAAAGAATGAATGAATGAATCTCAATGGAGTTTTAATTCTAAGTCAAAGNGGGGCGATATGCTGACTCTGTAAACCGCTTAGAGAGGGCTGAAAGCCCTATGAAGCGGTATATAAGTCTAACTGCTATTGCTATTGCTATATGTCACAAAATGGGACATATCAATAATAAATGTGTTGAAGATTGCAGACAATATTTTGGAACAAGAGAGTAGGCTTGCATCAGCCTTTATCTGTCACCAGAAACCAACTTTAAAATTGATTATTCTTTTTCAACCAGGTTAGTTTTTAAGGAGTTCTTAAGAAGATGTTGGATAACCATTTGTCTGAAATGGTATAGAGTTTAGGCAGGGGGTTGGACTAGAAGTCCTCCAAGGTCCCCTTCCAACTCTGTTATTCTAATAGTGTTCTAATAATCTATAACACTTTTCAGGAGTGGGTTCTGGCTGCTGCTATTGCCGGTTTGCTCAGGGACACACTGCGCATGCACATCACACTTGCGCTTGATGTGCAGTACTAAAAAAACCAAGATGGTGCCGCCTATGGTGCCACCAAGAGAACCGGTTCAAGGGCGTGGCAGGCCGAGTTACTACCTACGTGGCCGAACCGGTCCAAACCAGTAGGAACCCACCTCTGATACTTGTATATAAAAACTAAAGTTCTTCAGAAGAATGATATTTTCTTCTTCAACTAGTCTACTGTTTGAGTAAACATATTAATACCTGTAACAATATAAATTCTGCTGTCACCTAAATTAATGTGACTTATAATGCACACTGTTGCAAGATTCCATAAGTTAGACAATTTTACATAGTTATGTTAGACATTTCTAAGGAGGATTAGAAGAGTCACTAAACACTACGAAGGGTCACTTCAACTACTAGTATTTTTATAGTAGAATTAATACAGTAGTACAAAATTCCAAACCCTTTTTACCTGAGACAACAACCCCACTATTAGAAAAACTGTAAAGAATTGCTCTTTAAACTTAAGTAAGCTTTAATTTATTAATAAAGGCAAATATTTGTAGCTCAGGGTTGACAGGAGGGGTCCTTGGTGCTCTCTGAGTTTGCTTGTTTCTTACTAGCACTGATGATGTTACCTAGTTTGGGTAATGAAATGTTTGCAAGAAAGCAAGCAAGCTTGGAGGACTCCACTTTATATCTGGTCTTTTAAGCAGAAAGATTTACATAAAATATGGCCTGTCTTACAAGAGGTGAGGTTGGTAGAATTTTCCCATGACCCCAACTGTAGCAGTGGTGGGTTTCAAAATTTTTTAGAACCTCTTCTGTAGGTGTGGCCTGCTTTATGGGAGTGGCTTGATGGCCATGTGACTGAGTGTGAGTGGCTTGGCAGTCATGTGACTGGGTGGGCGTGACCAACTTGTAAAATGTGGTGAAAATCACTTAACAACGCTCTTGCTTAGCAACCAAAATGTTGGCTCAGAAATTCTGGCATTTGAAGCACACAAGTCTTAAAGCTGTCAAGTTACAGGACCCTTGCACCCCTAACCCTTTAGGAAAAAACCCCCCAGAGGTGTTCAAACTTGACAGCTTTAAGACTTGTGGACTTCAACTCCCAGAATTCCTCCTCCAGTCATGTTGGCTCA